TAGCATTTCCCATCTCTGCAGATTTTTGATAATGAATGAATGCCTTATGTTCATCTTTTTCAACCCCTATTCCGTGTCGATAACAATATCCAAGTTCACATATTGCACTAGCATTTCTCATCTCTGCAGATTTTTGATAATGAATGAACGCTTTATGTTCATCTTTTTCAACTCCTACTCCATTGAAATAACAAGTTCCGAGGTTATACATTGCTTTAGCATTTCCCATCTCTGCAGACTTTTGATAATGAATGAATGCCTTATGTTCATCTTTTTCAACCCCTATCCCGTATTGATAACAATATCCAAGACTATTTATTGCAGTAGCATTTCCCATCTCTGCAGATTTTTGATAATAAATGAATGCCTTATGTTCATCTTTCTCAATCCCTATCCCGTGTCGATAACAATATCCAAGACTACTTATTGCCGAAGCATTTCCCATCTCTGCAGATTTTTGATAATGAATGAATGCCTTATGTTCATCTTTTTTAACCCCTATTCCGTGTTGATAACAATATCCAAGCTGATTTATTGCACTAGCATTTCCCATCTCTGCAGATTTTTGATAATGAATGAATGCCTTATGTTCATCTTTTTCAACCCCTATTCCGTGTTGATAACAATATCCAAGACCATTTATTGCACTAGCATTTCCCATCTCTGCAGATTTTTGATAATGAATGAATGCTTTATGTTCATCTTTTTTAACATCTTTTCCATATAAATAATTGTACCCAAGGTCATTTAATTCAGTTGATGTTTTATTATCCATGTTGCCTTTCGAATATTAAAAAAGACGAAAAAATCGAATAAATTTATTTTATAGATTTTGCACTACAATATCAAGTAACACAACTTATTATGTAAATAAGGTTATATCAAAAACTCCTGGATTCTTATTCGCTTATATTGGGATCTTTGCTAGGAAAATCACTCTTCGAAATTTCCGATCGGGACAAATTTAAACCAACATGCCGATTTTTATTTGTCATGTAAATCATCTTATCGTTATCGAATAAGCTTTGAATAAATAAGACAAAAGATGATTTACATGCAAGTAAGGGCCGGCATGTTGGTTTAAATTTGTCCGAATTATCCCGATCGGAAAATGTCTAAGGGTGATTTTCCTCCCATATACTTCTCGTAAGAGTCAAACTATAATTTTGGTAGTAAAATTTTACATTAGGCCATATAAACTTAATTAATCGGTTTTCATAACCCGACTGGGTCAAAATTTACAAAACTCTAAAAAATCTATAAAAAATTTTATGTTTTTTATATATAAAATTTTTTTGAAAATAAAATTAAAAGCCGGGTCACTTTTGAAAATTTTATGTTATGAAAACCGATTTATTAAGTTTGTATGACCTTATTAACTGATTCTTTTATTATTTCATATTTTATTTTATTGCACAGTTTTGAAAATTTAATTGTATTTGAAAATTTTGATTATATTTAAACATGAAATAATTACAAGGTATTAGAGGCAAATAATTTGATTGGTATTATGTTATTTTGTGAAATATGTTGAGTCACTTTAGAAAGGATTTTGATTGGATACCTTTAATAAATGACCGTGAAATCGATGATGCTGAATTTTTATCTACTTTATTATGAAATTTAAGATTTTTAGGCACTTTGTGGCTTTTTTAGGGTTACAGTTAGGTTTTAGAGTTAGAGTTGTTGATAAAAGAATTTATGTGAATTTTATTAGGTTTATGGATTTAAATGGGGACTCTAAATTTCAGCATCGTCAGATTTCACGATCATAATGTAAAATAAGTTTTTTCAAAAAAAAAAAAAAATGTTATCAGATTTGAATATACTGTATATCATTACAAGAATAAAATAATAAATTTATTTATCAATTTTTTCTAATATATAAACCAAAATTTAAACACTAACCAACCAAAACAACAATAAATAAAAGTTAATAAGGGTATTTTTTAGCCTTTTCCGCTTTAATTTTTTCCAAAAATTGAATGGCCTTTGGCTGATTTTTCAAAGCAGCCAATTTAATATAAGTTTCAGCCTTTGTTTTATCAATTGTAACACCTAGTTTTCCATTCCAATAAATATCACCTAAATTAAAAAGAGCGGTAGGATTTTCATGATCAGCAGCCATAGTCATATATTTAATTATTTCAGGTACATTCATATTACTTTTATTTTCAAGAAGTGAAAATGCATAACGAAGTTGAGCATCAGCTACACCATTATCAGCAGCTTCTTTAAAAAGTTGAAGAGCAGCAGCAGAATTCTTTGGAACACCCATTCCACCTAATAAATAATAACCTTGCCAATATTTTGCAACATTATTTCCAAGTTTAGCATGACCCTCAAAACATTCCCAAGCAATATCATATCTTCTTTCCTTGTGTGCTTTAATACCATCTTCAAAAGGTATCAAAGGTTTTATCATAGGTATAGTGAAATCATCTAAACAGAAATCATCACATTGATCAGGTGTAGGCTGGTCATTATATTCATTAGATTGTTGAGAACAAGTATTTATAATGACCTGTTCTTTGAAACTGCGTGATAATTCTAATTCTGGAATATTACTAGAGTCAACACTTTTTGGTCGTGTCAGAGGAGAAGTTCCTTTAGAAAATACATGTTCATGAAAAAGGTCTTTAAGTTTCTGTTGCATCTCCATATCTGAAGGACGTGCAGAAGGCTCATCTTGCCAAGCTTAATAAAAATTAAGCTTATAAAAAAAATGAAAGTAAAAATTACGAGGATAAAGTATAATAATATAATTACCCTTAACAATGAGTTTATAAAGCTCTTTTTGAATTGGTGATGTACTAAGAGTAATAGTTTCAAAACTTTCACGTTTTTTATTCGTAACATGCACTTGAATATCATTTACGTCCATATCTTTATATGGAAATCTTTGATGACAAAGTTCCCAAAGCATCATTCCAAAACTAAGAATAAACAAAGTTAGTTGATAACTTTATAAAACGTAATAAATATTTAATAAAATTTTTATTATATAGATTTAATTACCTGTACATTTCACATTGGTGATTATATCTTTGCACACCTTTTGCTGTTTTTCGTAGTTTTTCTGGTGCTTTCCATCGAATGGTATCAGACAATACAGACACTATCATAACTCCCGCGGACACATAATTATGACTGAGTCCGAAATTTGAAATTTTAGGCTCACACCTATCAGTAACCTATTATAAATTTATAAAAATTTATAAAAAATTTATAAAAAATTTAAACAGAATTATACAAAAGAATAAAGTTATATACATACCAAGATATTTTCGCAACGAACATCATGATGATAGAGACTGCATCGATGCATAAATACAAGACCATTCATTATATCACGAGCGAATTGCAATTTTATAGACCAAGCGATATCATGATTTAAATACATATGGCGTAGATTATTATGTGCAGCCCAATCATAAATCATAACTTGACTATTACCCACAAAAGAAATCCCATAAAAAGTGATAATAAACGGACAAACACCTAATTTGAGGAGGACAGATAATTCGATTTGTTGTCTCTTTTTAATAGCTTGATCGAGTTTTTTTGTGGGACCTTGTTCATCATTTCGTGGAAGATAAACTTTTTTACATGCAACTTCTATTCCACGGAAAATTTTTTTAAATACAGTTCTATTAGTCCCACGAACATTATCGACAGAAGAAAATGGATCAGTTAATTCATTTGGATCTACTTTAGGACACTCATAGATAATAGGTGCCGTTTTATCCATTATATTATTACCCTTGTTTTGTACATCAGAGATTTGTGCACCCAGATTATTCGCATTTGATATCAAGGAAGTAACTTCCGATATTGCTAACCTAATTTCAGACTTTATTTAATCCTTCATATCATTCATTCATTGATTATACGATTATTAAGTTTAAAATATATTAGGGAAAATGTTCTATATAAAATTCAAAAAAAAAACAATTTTTAAAATAATTTAACGACAATTACCTTTTTTAAAATTTCAATATCTTCATCCACATTTTTTGTTTCCTTTTCTCTTTGTTCACCATTATATATAGTTATAGTAAAATTTAAATCACCACAAACTTCTTCAAATTCTTTAATGTTTTTATCAAAAGCATCTTTAACCGCAGTAGCACTTAAAAACTTTTGAAAATAATTCATTTGCGTAACTTCTTTCGCGAATTTTTTAATATTTTCTAAAACATTAACAAATCTAACCCAAGCATTATAATATTCTTGATTCCTAAAATTTTCTTCATTTGCCTTATATTTCCTTTGTAATGATTTAACAGCAGTTTGTGCTATTTCGACACGATCTAATAAAACTCCACAAATTTTTTCATTACATTTTGCATTATCATAAATTGTTATCATAGAACTAAGTATGTTTCTAACCATGGTAAATAAAGGAACAAATGGTGTGATTGCATCTCCTACAGTTTGGACGGTAGAAATTGTTTGACTAGCTATTTCGGTTGTTCCCAATTTTGTACTATATTCTCCTCGTAGATGGAGCTCTTTTTTTTCATGTTTGCGTGGTGAAGACATTATTTAATTTTCTTAATGTGAGTTTAAATTGTAAAAAAAAAATTATCTTTTCCTTAAAAAAGTAAAGTTTGTGAACAAATGCCAGGTATGCATGTACACTTTATATTGCAGCAAAATTTTCTACATATGGGGGTCAATAGAAACCAAGCAAATTTATCTAATAAATTTGCTTGGTTTCTATTGACGCCTTCCATATAGTTTTGAAAGACATAATATTAATTAATATGGCCAGTTTTATCGATTTGCGATAGCTGTGATATATTTGTTTATTTGTTCGACATAACGATAAACAAGAAAGTGTTAGCAGGTATGTATGTACGTTGAAAGGTTTAAATAGGTTCTTTGTCGGAGCTCGTCCGAAGGCTTGGTAACACGATGGTCCGAGTTTTATAGACAATTACCATTAATCCAACAATCAACCCTAAATTGGAAGGCTGAAAGACAGCGTGGAAGATTTGGTCCGGGTTTTAGGGCTATTCTTGGATTATCCAACTCGATACTTCTGGGTCACGTGGCACGTTATCTTAGTCCCGATTTCGAATAAGTCAAGAGGCGATATACTTGACTTACGGTAGCGGTTTCTTTATAATCAGGGGGTAATTTATGATAAGCGAATGTGGTATTTGGGAGTTATTTAGAGGTTTTCGAATTGTCTCAAACTTGAGATGATTTTATTGAAAGGGAAAAGGCATCCCTTATATAAATATTTTTACATATAGAAAATAAGAGAAATCTAAACTATCTAAAGGATAAAATCGATCCTTTAGATCATTTTTATCCAAAGGATAAAAATGATAAATCCGATTTAAGAAATTGTACATATCGTACATATCGTGTATAGTGCTACATCGGAAGGTAGTATATCCGGGATGACAAAAATTGACCATTACAAACTCCCTGCTTAATTTATGCGTTGTTAGAGTTTTAGTTTGTGTAAAGATGTGTGAGGCTAAGGTGATAGCACGAAGCCTTGGGGTGTGCGATCAACTAATAAAATCAAAACTATATGTAGATGTATATCAAAATTTTATATTATAGGTTTTTTTTAGAAAAATCGATCTGCATATCATAATATGTATAACGTAATAATACATATAAAAAAAATGTTAGGTATTTTTACATATTTGGTGTATACAACGACTTGTCTTTTCCTTTTTTATATATTAATTTATTTGTAAGTATGACATTAACAACTTTACGTTATTTATTTTTATATTTTAAATCCGGTTTTTGAGAAAAAATTCCTGTACGATCTTCAACTTAAATTTTTTAATCGGTAATAAAGTTTGTGGATTTTCTGTGGTAACTAATAAAGTTCTAAATATACAAAGGTAAAATATTATAACGTAACTTTGTTCATAATGGTTCAAAATTAGTTTTTATCAAGAAATTTTTTTAAAACAATACATATTTAAACCATATATCTAAATAAGGTTTGGGTTTAAAGGATGGGAATTTATCATTCGAATAAACATTGGTTTTAAGTAAAATAAGCTGTTCAAAAAAGTGTGAAAAGTCAAGAAAAAGCTTGTAAAAGGTGTAAAATACAAGAAATAACTGAACAATTAAACAATATGAATTATAAACAATTGAATACCACTAGTCAAATGATAAAAAAATTTAACAAATTAACTGAATTAGAAAAAAGATGTTCTATCTTAATTTCTAAAATTGAACAATTACTATCAAAGCAGTTATCTGTTACTACTCATTTGTTTGAATTAATACATTATTTACAAGGATCTAATAAGAGTAAAATTTTGTCATCTTATCTTCAAAATAAAGCTCAAATTACCTTAATCAAAATTTTTATAAGCATAACTTTTTAATTAATACTTTACAAATAATAAATTATTAGTTAAAGCTAGATAACAAAAAGCTTGATCAAAAAAATTGCAAGTTAATCTCTAAGACAAAATCATTAGGATCAATTAAAAGACACTTATATAATCAAAAGATTTACTATATTTCTCAAATCTGTTTATTAGTTAGAATGTATTCTATATCATCTGATATACTTAAAGAGCAAATAAAGAAGTTTTTTAAAATTAATAAATGAATATATTTTTCAAATGCAGTTTGGTTAGCAATGCAAATTTTACAAGTAGAACAAGTGTCAATTCAATCTATAACTGAGTGTATAAAATTGATATATGAATTTTTAGTTGATAAATCTCCAAAACAATAGTTTTCTGTTTCTACTTTACTAACATAAAATAAAGATATTTTTGAAATCTAATAGCTAATAGAAGTCTTCTAAAAGTTTCATTTTCAGATTATATATAAAATGTATAATCTACATCCAATTTGAACTGTTAAAGTATTTGTCCATTTTGTAAATAATGAAATAGCCTCTTTATCTTTACCAGTTAAATATATAATATTGTCTGTTAACTATACTTGACAATTTTGAATATTTAAATATGAGGTTTGAATTATTTCAATAACTATTTAAGCAATTACTTCACTATTACAATTTTTAATATTTTTAAAATATATTATTTATATGTTTAAACAGTTTTTATTAGAATTCTAAAATATCAAATATATAACAAAATATTTGGTTTCACTTCTAGTAGACTCATTAACTATTATTTCAAAACTTTCTATTTTTTGCATATAAGAAAGAAGTCTATTAACTTGAATTTGAGAAATATCTTTATTTTATGTTAGTAAAGTAGAAACAGAAAACTATTGTTTTGGAGATTTATCAACTAAAAATTCATATATCAATTTTATACACTCAGTTATAGATTGAATTGACACTTGTTCTACTTGTAAAATTTGCATTGCTAACCAAACTGCATTTGAAAAATATATTCATTTATTAATTTTAAAAAACTTCTTTATTTGCTCTTTAAGTATATCAGATGATATAGAATACATTCTAACTAATAAACAGATTTGAGAAATATAGTAAATCTTTTGATTATATAAGTGTCTTTTAATTGATCCTAATGATTTTGTCTTAGAGATTAACTTGCAATTTTTTTGATCAAGCTTTTTGTTATCTAGCTTTAACTAATAATTTATTATTTGTAAAGTATTAATTAAAAAGTTATGCTTATAAAAATTTTGATTAAGGTAATTTGAGCTTTATTTTGAAGATAAGATGACAAAATTTTACTCTTATTAGATCCTTGTAAATAATGTATTAATTCAAACAAATGAGTAGTAACAGATAACTGCTTTGATAGTAATTGTTCAATTTTAGAAATTAAGATAGAACATCTTTTTTCTAATTCAGTTAATTTGTTAAATTTTTTTATCATTTGACTAGTGGTATTCAATTGTTTATAATTCATATTGTTTAATTGTTCAGTTATTTCTTGTATTTTACACCTTTTACAAGCTTTTTCTTGACTTTTCACACTTTTTTGAACAGCTTATTTTACTTAAAACCAATGTTTATTCGAATGATAAATTCCCATCCTTTAAACCCAAACCTTATTTAGATATATGGTTTAAATATGTATTGTTTTAAAAAAATTTCTTGATAAAAACTAATTTTGAACCATTATGAACAAAGTTACGTTATAATATTTTACCTTTGTATATTTAGAACTTTATTAGTTACCACAGAAAATCCACAAACTTTATTACCGATTAAAAAATTTAAGTTGAAGATCGTACAGGAATTTTTTCTCAAAAACCGGATTTAAAATATAAAAATAAATAACGTAAAGTTGTTAATGTCATACTTACAAATAAATTAATATATAAAAAAGGAAAAGACAAGTCGTTGTATACACCAAATATGTAAAAATACCTAACATTTTTTTTATATGTATTATTACGTTATACATATTATGATATGCAGATCGATTTTTCTAAAAAAAACCTATAATATAAAATTTTGATATACATCTACATATAGTTTTGATTTTATTAGTTGATCGCACACCCCAAGGCTTCGTGCTATCACCTTAGCCTCACACATCTTTACACAAACTAAAACTCTAACAACGCATAAATTAAGCAGGGAGTTTGTAATGGTCAATTTTTGTCATCCCGGATATACTACCTTCCGATGTAGCACTATACACGATATGTACGATATGTACAATTTCTTAAATCGGATTTATCATTTTTATCCTTTGGATAAAAATGATCTAAAGGATCGATTTTATCCTTTAGATAGTTTAGATTTCTCTTATTTTCTATATGTAAAAATATTTATATAAGGGATGCCTTTTCCCTTTCAATAAAATCATCTCAAGTTTGAGACAATTCGAAAACCTCTAAATAACTCCCAAATACCACATTCGCTTATCATAAATTACCCCCTGATTATAAAGAAACCGCTACCGTAAGTCAAGTATATCGCCTCTTGACTTATTCGAAATCGGGACTAAGATAACGTGCCACGTGACCCAGAAGTATCGAGTTGGATAATCCAAGAATAGCCCTAAAACCCGGACCAAATCTTCCACGCTGTCTTTCAGCCTTCCAATTTAGGGTTGATTGTTGGATTAATGGTAATTGTCTATAAAACTCGGACCATCGTGTTACCAAGCCTTCGGACGAGCTCCGACAAAGAACCTATTTAAACCTTTCAACGTACATACATACCTGCTAACACTTTCTTGTTTATCGTTATGTCGAACAAATAAACAAATATATCACAGCTATCGCAAATCGATAAAACTGGCCATATTAATTAATATTATGTCTTTCAAAACTATATGGAAGGCGTCAATAGAAACCAAGCAAATTTATTAGATAAATTTGCTTGGTTTCTATTGACCCCCATATGTAGAAAATTTTGCTGCAATATAAAGTGTACATGCATACCTGGCATTTGTTCACAAACTTTACTTTTTTAAGGAAAAGATAATTTTTTTTTTACAATTTAAACTCACATTAAGAAAATTAAATAATGTCTTCACCACGCAAACATGAAAAAAAAGAGCTCCATCTACGAGGAGAATATAGTACAAAATTGGGAACAACCGAAATAGCTAGTCAAACAATTTCTACCGTCCAAACTGTAGGAGATG